ACTTACTATGTGGCAGGCATGGGTACCACAACAGATATACTAAATAAAAATGCCACATGGATTTTATAGGAAGGGTGTCACCAAGTAGCTCTGGTTATTTCGAGACAGAGTTTCTTTGTGTAACAGTCCTGGCTGTCCTGAAACTAAGTCTTGTAGACCAGGCTGGCCTCGAACTCACAGACATCTGCCTGCCTCTGCCTCCCGAGTGCTGGGATTAAAGGTGTGCGCCACCGCCTGGCTGCAGTTTACTCTCTTACTATACTAGTTTTATTAATTGAGAAGTCCTTATATTTTGATCATATTCATTCCCCATTCTTTCCCCTAATTTCTCCAATATCCATACCTACCTTCTCACCCCTCCCAACTTTATACTGTATTTTTTTATACTGTATTTTTAAAAAACCCACTGAGTTTAATTTATGCTGCTCATACACTCCCAGGTGTGGGTCATACAATGGAGTATCAGGGGTCACACCCTTTAGGAAAACTGATTCTCTGCCCTAGAAGTCGTCGCTGTCAGGGGTGGAGGCTGGCAAGCCCCTCCCACCTCCTGCATAGAATGCGGATTGGCTTGATCTTGTGTGACTCTTGTGCAGGCAGCAACAGCGTCTGAGAAAGCAGTTCTCTCTTTAGGGATGATTACATTCAGACCCTGGAGAAATGATTTTCTGCATGTGTACGTGTGATGGAGGTGGTGCGGGTGGTGCAAGTGTGTGCACGTGCATATAGAGGCCCAAGGTTGACATCTCGTATCTTCCTTATGTACCAAGGCAGGGTGTCATGGCTGTTTTATGTCAACTTGACAGAAACTCTAGTCATTTGGGAAGAGGGAACCTTAGCTGAGAAAATGCCCCCAACAGATTAGCCAATGGGCAAATTTATGGTGTGTTTTCTTGATTGTTGATTGATGTGGAAGGGCCCAGCTTACTGTGGGCAGTGCTGCCCCTGGGCTGGTGGTCTCATAAAGCAGATTGAGCAGTCCATATGGGAGAAAGTTAGTAAGCGGCACTCCTGCATGGCCTCTGCATCAGCTTCTGCCTCTAGAGTCCTCTCCCAACTTCCCACAGTTCTGGACTGTGATGTGGAACTATAAGCTAAAATAAACCCTTTTCTCCCAAAGTTGCTTTTGGTCATAGTGTGCTATCATGGCAATAGAAACAATAATGAAGACACAAGATTTCTTGCTGAATCTGGAGCGAGTTTGGCTAGGGTAGCTAGCCAGCTTGCTCTGGGGAACTGGTCTGTCTTCCGTGTGCTGGGCTTACAGGTGACTACCACTTCTACCTGGCTTTTATGTGGGTTCTGGGCATCTCAACTTTTGTCCTCATACTTGCCTACCAAGTACTCTCTCCACTAAGCTATCCCTCCAGATGGAGGAGTTCTTTCCTGGTAACATTAGCAGTTCTAGGATTGGTCTTTTTGTATCACTTGTGTTTTAACTTTGTCATGCGGTTTTACATATTTAGGGGGGACAGTGCATGTCTGGTGTAGTTATATAATATATAATGATCACATCAGGGTAAACTTTTCTTAAAAATACAATTTGCTTTTATAACAGTTTTAACTGTGCAGGAAAGTCAGGAAGATGGTTCACTAATGGATCTTGCATTAGGGCAGCTGTCTGTCTGTCACACCGTGATACCAGTAGCTAAAGTCCACACTGACTTACAAAACTTTAATTTTTCCCTGAAGATCCTATTCAGAGCTAGCTTTGGTCATCCTGTCTCTGGAGTTTCCTCTAGACAGTGACCATTTCTTAGACTCTCCTTATTTTTCACTACTTTGACATTCAGGCAATTTAAGGATCCTCCAGTTTGGGATTTCCTGGTGTTTTTCTTGTGGCTAGACAGAGTCCCAAAAGTTTGAGAGGACAACCGCAGAAGTACAGACTTCATCATCTGGCTGAGAGAGTGGGTGTCTCTGCTCCGAAGTTAGTCTTTCCTTTCCTTGGAAAGGGAGTCACTAAGAAGGAGTACATTGTTAAGAGATGGAGCATCATAAGGAAGTCACCATGCAGCTGTTCACACCTAGAGGATGGTGTGTTGCAAGTTGGAAGTCATTATGTGGCAGTTCACACCTAGGGGAGGTTGTTGCAGGAAGGATGTCGCTATGCAGCTGTTCACACCTAGAGGATTGTGTGTTGCAGGTAGGAAGTCACCATGCAGCAGTTACAGCTAGGGAATGGTGTGTTGCAGGCAGGAAGTCACCATGCAACTGTTCACACCTAGGGGAGGTACTTTACAGGTAGGAAGTTATCATACAACTGTTCACACCTAGGGAATGGTGTCACTATGTAGGCAATCACTCTTACAGGGTGGAATATGGTGGTTTTGCTTTATATCATTGAAGATGGGAAGTGTTACCTAGATAAGTTATTTGAAATTTCTATATGTAGGATATTTGTCTATTCTCCATCTACTTCTCAGTTCAATTATTTTGATATTTGTTGCTGAAACGTTTGAGAACCCTGCGTTTGGCTCTGTGCTCTTGATACCTCTCAATGTGTTTATTTTGAGCACTCCATTACTTCTTGGGCACCAAGACTCACATGTAACCCTCCCCCCTCCAGTGTGACCTAGAGTGACTTATTTCTCCAAGGAGTCTTGTTCTTTTTATTAGAAAGTGGAATCATACATGACTTAGTGTGCTTGCTGCTTCTGGAGCTGTTGTTGCTTCCAAGCTCTGCCAGAGATTTGTATATTACCAACCTTCTTATATGCATATGTATGAATATCTCTCTATATAGTTATCTGAGTCTGCGTTATACTAAATAAACATGGGTTACTATGTCCTGAGGTCACCATCTCACCCATGATCTGTTGGTGTCATGGAATATTAGGCCCCCATCTTGCTTGGCTCTCATTTTTCACTCCAATAGTGCCTTGGTCAGGTCGTCTCTTCACAACAATAAAAAAGTAACTAAGACAAATGGTTTCTTGGAAGTTTTGTACATAGTACCCTGTGGCATCCCAAATTCACAAGTACTTTTCAAAATCCTATTCTGTATTCATTAGTGAAGGAAAGGTTTCAGTGGTTAAGAGGACTTGTTCTTTCAAAAGACCCAGGTTTGGTTCTCAGCACCCATATGGTGGCTCACAGCCATTGTCAGCTTCAGTTCCAGTGGATCTGATGCCCTGTTATTACCTCTGTGGGCACATACATACGTACATACAGGCAAAGCACTCATACACATAAGATAACTAAATCTACAAAAATATTAAAGTGGATCCTAATATACCTACTAATACATATCATATATTTGTATATTTATTTATACATCTTGAATTTATTTGTATGGTTTAAAATATCCATGTTATGGTATCAAAAATCAGAAGCTAACACTAAGATGCTTCAAAGTAAAATTTAATAATGGTTGGGCCATATTTTCAGTCTCCCATAGTAGGAGAATGAAAGTAGCCCAGATTAAAAGCACAGCAGTCTCTTTATACCAAGTAAGCAAGTGATTAAAAGTGGAATTTTGCAGTTATTTTTTATGATCATAGGAAAGGGACATGTTACAGGTTTATGGTTAGACAGTTAACATACTATGAAACATCTTATGGTCATTCAATTCTCAGAACCATAGAAACAGTTTATGATATGATTCACAAGATTATTGGGGAAGAACCACCTAACATTGTTAACTAAAGAGAAAATGGAGTCAACTTTCCCTTACAATATATGATAAAAGGTATATGGCTTTCTATATAAGTATCATTTGGTTGACATATATTTATTAAGAAGCAGTGATTTTTTTTCCTGTTTTCTTTTAAAGGAATAGTTGATTCCCCATGACCCAAGGTTACTCTGTGAAGTTGATTTCTCAATATTTCCCTAAATAATGTGGTAGCTTTTTAGACTTCTTTACTTACATTATTTCCAGACCCAGCGATTTGAAGGCTGTTTTCTTTTCCTTATACAGGCAAATAGACACTAAAAGGCAGAGTCTCTTCCTCCTCTTTAAAATGAGAATTGCAGAAACCAGTATGTTCTAGATTGCTTATTCCACAGAAACCAGTACATTCAGCTGGGCAGTAGTGGCGCACACCTTTAATCCCAACACTCGAGGCAGAGGCAGGCGAATCTCTGTGAGTTTGAGGCCAGCCTGGTCTGCAGAGTGAGTTCCAGGGCAGCCAGGGCTGCTACACAGAGAAACCCTGTCTCAAAAGAACAAGAAAAAAAAAAAAAAAAGAAACCATTACATCCTGGGTTGGTTATTCTTCAGAAGCCAGTGTGTTTGATTGTGTATTCTTTGGGAAGGCGTATGTTCTAGAGTGCTTGTTCTTTGTCACTGGCTGGCATGTGGAGATGGTCAATCTCACCCCATTCACTGTCTCAGACAACCTTAGATGTTTCTACAGTGCACACTAAGCAACTTTAGCCACTATCAACACTTGTGACTTCAGGGAACTTACTCTGTTCCCCATTCATTGTAGAAAGAGTACTCTGGGTTACCTTTTAACACTCTTTCCCTTAACCCCACGAGAAATGGAAAACTGAAAATGTCTAACTGTAAAGTTGCCCCAGGGATGAAGTGTGTGTGAGCCATACCTGGAGGAACTTCCCTCCCTCTGGTTCTTGTACAGCACGTGGCCCTCCTGGGGTGGTTCTAGGTACAGCACGTGGCCCTCCTGGGGTGGTTCTAAGTACAGCACGTGGCCCTCCTGGGGTGGTTCTAGGTACAGCACGTGGCCCTCCTGGGTGGCTCTAGGTACAGCATGTAGCCCTCCTGGGGTGGTTCTAGGTACAGCACGTGACCCTCCTGGGGTGGTTCTTGTACAGTATGGTGCCCTCTTGCGGGTCCCTGAGTAGGTGTGAAGTTCTGAGTCTGGGGCAGTCTGGTCCTTTCCCTCCATGTGGGCTGCTCCTACCCCGCTGTCTGATCCTAGGGCTGGCATGGTCCCTGGGCTACTACTGTCCAGGAGGTGCCGTCCTACTGTCTCACCACATCTCACCTATAGCCTTGCTCATTTGGTTATCTTGCTGCCCTTCTTTTTCAGAAGTGTGTTACAGAAGAGTGTTTCTTTTTTGAACGACTGGAATCCAATAACTACAATACTTACCGGTCAAGGAAATACTCCGGATGGTATGTGGCACTGAAACGAACTGGGCAGTATAAACTCGGATCCAAAACGGGACCTGGGCAGAAGGCCATACTGTTTCTTCCGATGTCTGCTAAGAGCTGATTCACTTTAGAAACTGTTAATGAGAGAAACGAATGTACGCAACTAAGTTTGGACGCCTGGATAAAAACTCATTATGTAACAGTAAGATACTTAACCGTTACCTCAGTAAAGAAAAGCAACAATTTTTGGAAAAAGTTTAGAATTCTCCCTTTTATAGCTTTAGTTGTGACCCAGTGATGATCAGAGCCACAATATTTTTCATTTATTTTCTTTATTAGAAAAGAGGATTTAAAGCTATGTGCATTTACAAATTACCACCATGGAAATCATGTATGTGAGAAAGAAAGCTGGTGCCAGGTATTAGCCGCAGACTGTGTCCACCTTTGGTTCACTCAGTCTGTCCCCGTGGTGGCTGTGTAACTCTCCGGCAGTTCCCTGTGATAGAGTTTGTAGAACAGGCCTGTGTACACTGCGGGGAGTTCCTCCATGCTGAGGTCAATCTTGTCAAACCCTTCCCTGTGTCCGTACAGCAATAGCCTGGCTACCCTGCTGGTGATGGGGGTCGTGTTCTTAGTCCTGGCCAGGTCTTCTAGATCCATCCATTCACACTTCAAACATTCCTGCCGGCAGAAGTTGATAGTGAAGGAACGGGGCTGCAGGCGGCAGATCAGGTACAAGTCTGACTTCCCAAAGGCCCCAGGGTGCCTGTGCTGCTGCCGGATGCTCAGCAGAGACCTGAATTCTGACTTCACCCCAGTCTCTTCAAACACCTCTCGGACTGCTGTGTCGCCTACGTGAAAGAGAGAAACAGAGATTTCGTTCCTAGAGATGCTGTCAAAGGTTTAAAGTGAAAATCTGGAAGGTTAAAAGCAAAAGTTTTGTCTTCGAACTGCTTTCTTGACGCTGTGAGATGCACTTTGTATTTCAGATGCCTCTGAGACACTGAGGGTCTCCTTGGAGGCTATGCGTGCATCAACACATCATCTTTGCAAGAAGACACTTGCAAACACAGCTGCAGTTATCCTTCAGGAATCTGTAGTGCTGAGCTTACTTGAATGAGCAGTGAATTGACTCTGACTTGTGTGTGATCTAAGCCCACTGCCCCACAGGGCAAGGCCCTTCACCAGGGTTATGCCCCCTCCTAGCCGCCGGTGGAGCCTAGCCTGATTTGGAAACTGCTTTCTCTTGAGATCAGATTCCAGAGAACTTGGGATTCAACCCCTCAACACCAAAATGCAATAGCTGTTTAATCAAACATTTTCATAAGGCTAGAAATGCACATAATTTTATAATACAACAGGGTTTTCACATTTTATAAATATTTTTAATTAAATACAAATTTCCATGGCAGGACTTTTATTGCCATTAACATAGGTTTATGTCCAGTTTATCAGGACACCCAGGAAGACTGCCTGAATGGACTTCACTAGCTCTGATGCTCTATAGCTTCCTGTCCTAATCGCTTTTCTGGTCCTCTTTAGAGTTATTATAGATTGTTTAACACCTTCTAATGCCTCGCTGGATGTTTGCCAAATAGCACATAAGTTTGTCTTGCCAGTAAATCGACTAATAATGTCGATGCGATGAAAAGCTATCAAAAGCACGTAGTTCCTGTGCACACAAACCATAGACTGTCTTCCCTGCCCCCTGGGCACATACCCGCACCTAAGACATGCTCTTGTTTCTAAGAAACAGTTCTAGAAAGGCTCACAGGAACAATATCTTACTCTAAAACACAAGACATCTATCCACCATTCTTTAATTATATACTGACTTCCCTGTGACTGAGATTTGTCCATAGGTTAAGCATGGTTAGAAATTACATTTCATAACCGAAAGCACCAAGACAAGGCATACCTTGTCTACACCATGTAGATACCTGCTTCGGCGTGTGTGAGATGCTGGGTTCAGATCCTGGTACCACATAATGAGAGGGAGGGAACAGTGGCATCAAAGAACATTCTAGGCTCACAAAGTCTCTGGTAAGAAAATAGTTTTCATCTAGCATACAATACATTATTAAATTTATTATTAAAAATTGTGGCACTAGTCTTAAATGTTTATATAGTGGCCTCTAACTCTTGTTTAAATATATATAGTCTTTAATATGCATATATATACATATATATGTATGTATCTTTAAACGCTCTGAAAATGACCTTAGGGATCCCGTGCTCAGTTGTTAGTACCACTAATCTGACCAGCTGTCTTAAATGGCAGAAACAGGACAGGGTAAACAGGAGAGAGAGTGTCCTGCTTAGCAGTCACTATAGCGCATGGTGGCGACGGGACAGACACTGCTTGGGTAGATCAAACAGTTTAACTTGAATCAGTGCATCACCAACCAGCCGAAACCAAAAATGCAAGCCAGTACTTTTGTTTCTGAGATGTGGGACATCCTCCCCTTACACTTCAAAATGGAAGCCTCCCCCTCAGTTCCAACGTGAATTTAAATTTATCACGATAAACTGTTGTTTCGTTCCAATTATTTTAACAGACTTTAAACTCAGCTGAAATAACAGTCACTGTGTGTGCAGAATCTAGAAGTTCATTTTTGCTGCTGGAGAGGTACATGCTTGACTGTCAGGCTGGACTGCTGAATGGTAGGCCAGTGCAGAGGCTCCAATTTCTCCTGTGTTGTAGGAGGTAATGACAGGTGTCCTGAGATGGCCTAAGTGATGGGAAACCTTCAGCATGTGGGGTTCTTTGAGCTCCCTCGGGCCCTGCTGAACATCTCTGGTTCACTGAAGCAGGATTTGGTTTTCACCCATGGTAATACCATATTTTAGGAAGGCATTTTGTTCCTTTGAACTGTACAAGACACCTTTAAACTCTATACTTAAAAACTTCTATTTGTTTCGCATTTCCCCAATTCAATTTCTTAAAAAAACTCTTGGCATATCAGTGTTTTACCTACCTACCATTATCAGAGAATGAAAGATTCCAAACAAATGAGTTCCCAAATTAACTAGCATTTATTTACTGGTATTTAACTGGCTAATTAACAAACAGTAAATGTCGAACTGTTCAGGATGGCAGCATTCCAAAAGTGCAGTTCACGCTTTCCTAAACAGAGGTGTCAAGAATCTAATCTCCAGGTGGACCTGGAGATCACTAGAAACAGGCTGTAGAAGAGAATTCCAAGGCTACGGTGAATACCAACTTCCGCTTTACTTTTAGTTCAGATAAGTTATTTTGTTAACCACAGATACTTAAAAAAAAAAACTAGTAGGGCATTTAAAATGATTTAGGCTTAAAGGTAAGATTCTGGAATTATACTTAAACCTGAATTTACACATACTTAACTTGAAAATGTGTTTTTTCATTTATATCTAAGTCTGTCTGAAATTCTTAGGATCTACTGGAGTTCAAAGGAAAATAAACCCACCTCAATTCATTTGAAAGGCATGTCCCAGGAAGGAAAGGCACATGGGGCTGTAGACGGCTTCCCCTCTGTGCAGGGTGAGAAAGCTAGACTTGAGTTCCCTTGTTCACACACACTCACATACCACATAGGTAATGGGAGAAAATGAAGAAGGTAGCCTTATAGAAAAAATGTCCTTGGCTCTCAGTATTTGGCACCCCTACAAAATACAGATATTTTTTGAAGACATGGTCTAAGTAGCACAGGGTGGCCTGAAACACCATCCTCCTGCCTCAGCCTCCTTAGTTGTAGGCTAAATAGGCATGTGCCATCACGCCAAGGTCCCCAGAGTACACAGTGTCAACAGACTGCCCGCCAGAGAACTCAGCAGTCAGTGAGCATCTAAAACCAAGGTTTGCTTCACACATCTGAATGTCATCAACGTGCTTATGGGTTGTTAGGAGCTGACCACGTAAATACATACAGGGCACTTGGATCTATGTAACATGTAAACTCAGACTTTATGGACATACAGTCAAATGTAAACATCCACAGGAGACTGCTCCATACAGTGCTGGTTAAAAAGAAATGAGGATGTGCATGCTAAAGGAGTGATCTTTGAGAAATAACTTTAATATCTAATGTATTATTTGTTGATCAGGATAATATTAAATTTAACCTAATGGTTTAAGGAACAGCCTAATTCTATACTTTGAAGATCAGTGACTGAGTACTTAGCTTCCATCCTATCTCCCTATAAGCTGATTTGGTGGGAGAGGGGAGATACGTCATTTATCACTTGAGACTTCCTCATAAGGTATTTTATTATGTTTTAGATTATTCGTAAATAGTTGGCAAAAATTTTAAAAGATAATTATATCACTATTTCCTTGTAGTTGGCTTTATTATATTTCAAGCTCATTTTTAAATTATTATTCACCCATATGTGACCATAATGTTGTCAAGAATTCAAAATTTAATAATTTTAGCCCTATTTGAAAAATCTTTATAGTGAACTTTACCGACAAACGTCTCAGGTTGCTCCTTTCCCTATGGCCACAGAACGCCCTGGACAGGTGTGTTAACGCTCCCCTAGGGCTGAGGTGTGCCAGAAAACGCATGCTCCCTGTGCATCAGCACTCAAGAAATCTGCCTAAAAATTTCTGACTTGGTCTGAACCAATTAGAAAATTTAAATTCGTATTCTTAGATACAAAGCAGGAAAGGAAACATATGAATTTTCCAAACATTTTCAACCTTATCAGAAATATATAAATACATACCGATATCTTCTCCAGGCTCTGACAGGCCTCCTGGAAACTTCCACATATTTTTCAGCTGCAGTACAAAGTAAATAAATAGCTCACGACATGATTCGCTCTCATTCTCTCCGGCCTCTCTCTGCCGCTCCTACCCTAGTCCACCCGCAGCTGGTTACGGTAGTAAAAGCGTGTTTATTTTACTCTATTTCCTCAGCTTTCTTACTACTGCAGTTTTTCTCATCTGAGGGTGATGGTGATTGGTGAAATCTTTTCCTCTTACTCTTCAGGAAGCAGAAGTGGTGTTATTCAGCTAATGTGATAACCTTGTATTACTGAACCTTTGGAGGGAAATATCTATTGATTTGTGTACTTTACAGAACTTGGCTGCTAGTTGAATATGAACAATAGGATCTTACAGATGCTGCTATAAGTAGAGTACAGAATAAATGTAACCACCAAGGTTTGCTACTCATGCATTTACTGTATCTGTTTCTGTTCAGAGATTACTCAAGACTTCTGCGTGTTAATAGTTTTATGTAAAATGTTATTGCTTTTTATGAATAGTGTGAATAAAATTACTTTGGTTTCTTGACTATCATTTCTTTGTATTTTCTTATTGATCATTTCTACTTTTTTTTTGGGGGGGGGAATGGGAGGTAAACCTGATCTCTGGAAGAAATAAGGATAGAGTGAAATAATTATGAGCTGGCACCAGACAGTTTATTCAAGGCTGACACTGTAGAATTCTTCTGTATGTGTTCATCATACTATAAATCTCAAGAATGAGAAGTGACCTCATAAACTAGCCGATCTCATTCTCTTCATTCGTAAAACCTTTGTGGACCTTCCACTGTGCGCCGTGCCCTCTGGCTTCCTGGAAGTGTGCTTCTGAGAGCATGCATCACCTCTCAGCTACGTGGACTTGGAGGCCTGTGGCAGGGTTCCTGCTTTCCATACACTGTTGCTTACTCGGTACAGGATCCAAGCTTTCCATCCTTCTGTGTCCAGCTCAGGCCTGACATGAACTCATGAAGCATATTATGCCTCACTTTACTAGCATCGAGATCTCCCTCATCTGCAAGGATACATTGTCTTTTGGGTCACACTTTGAAATGGTTCTGGAAGCTTTGTTTTTCTGGAAACTCATATCTGTACTAAGAATGAATGATGCAATAGGGACTTGAGAACTTGGTATTATTATGACATTGGCTGTCCATACACCGCCATTCTGTCTTCACAGCAAAGCCTGACAGTACCTACGATTTGCATTTCAAACCTAAACCCGTGTCTGGCTCCCAGGGTCCCACACCTGGGTCCTACCATGTCTGTCGATCACATTGCCTGCTCTCAAGTCATTACCATTAAATGGATACATTTATGTCCAATCCAAACATAAACCTTACTAAAGGCTAGGTCCAGTACTACCTTAGGAACTGCGTAAGTTTATGTTGATGGTAGAAAGTTTTGTTTGGGTCAGAGATGTGACTTTAAGCCTCATAAGTTACTTAGAATAATTCAGATAACATTTCTGAGAAATTATGATGTTGTAAGTATATATCATAAGGAAAATGTTTAATTTTGTCCAGCAGTGTTTAATGAAGGGTCAGAAAGTGTAAAGTTAGATATTCTTGCCGGGCTAGCTTATGGCTCAGAGGCAGCACTGGCCCCAACTTGATTCTCAGCATCACAAAAGTAGAAAAGGCATTCTCTTTCACTTTGACATCAATGCCAAGCGTGAAAACATTTCTTTTTTTTTTAATTATTTAACTTTATCTTATGTGCATTGGTGTGAAGGTGTCAGATCCCCTGGAAGTGGAGTTATAGGCAGTTGTGAGCTGCCACGTGGGTGCTGGGAATTGAACTTGGGTCCTCTAGAAGAGCAGCCAGTGTTCTTAACCACCGAGCCATCCCTCCAGCCCATGAAAACATTTCTTTTTTAAAAAATATTTATTTATTTATTTATTTATTTATTTATTTATTTATTATGTATACAATATTCTGTCTGTGTGTATGCCTGCAGGCCAGAAGAGGGCACCAGACCCCATTACAGATGGTTGTGAGCCACCATGTGTTTGCTGGGAATTGAACTCAGGACCTTTGGAAGAACAGGCAATGCTCTTAACCTCTGAGCCATCTCTCCAGCCCCCCCATGAAAACATTTCTAATTGTGGTTTTTCTCTTAATCTTTGCTGCTTCTAGTAGCCTGGCCTCCTGCTACATGGGTGCTGTGAGCCTAACTCTAGTTTGAGTAGCAAGTGCTTTTTAACTGCTGAATATTTCTCTAGTGCCTAGCCTTTTATTTCTTTTCTTTTTTCTCCCCTCCTCGCCTCTCTCCTCCTCCCTCTTCTCATCTCTCCTCCCTCTCCCATGCTCCTTCTCTCCTCTCTTTCTTAACCCAGTAAGAAACTCCACCAGTCTGAGTTTGAAATATCACATCCGCTGAAGCATCTCTGGAGGCTCTTAGGGCCAAGAATCCGTTCTGCAACTAGAGATGGAGCTGCAGGACTGTCAGGATGGCATGTCCTCAATCTCTGTCCTTGCCATACTGGGAGCAGAGCTGGCAATGCTCAGGATGCTCCCTCAGTAATGTGTCTTCCCGGTTAAACACTATCAGCTGTGCTATTCTACAGTCATGAGGAAGCACGACACTGAGGATCTCACTGGCACTTTCAGGCCTCTATCTCGACTTGATTTAAATATCCCAGTGTTCCATAACTGCTCAGAAATAACTATTAAAGTATCTCTCAGCATTCCTTTAGCCAGCTCAACATTTCTGATCCATGATCTTTTTCCCCAGGGAGAGTATCTAGAAAGCAATCTACAAGGCAGGAACAACTTACTTTATTCCGATCTTGTACAACCAGCACTCTTCTGGTGCTATCATCAAACACAGCACCTTTGTGGGGAAAAGATCATTGCAGAACATTAATTCCATTCGCCTTCAACTCCTCCCATAGTTACCTGTGGTCATTAGAATCCCACCCATATTTGAAGGTCCAGATACCTCAACCAAGAAGACTGTGAAGCACTTCTCCGCTAAGGAGAGCATTGCTCAGCTGACCAGTTTTCTTTCTTTTCCTCTTCTCTCCTCCTTTCTTCCTTTTTGTTTTCTTTCCTTCCTTCCCTCAACAATTTGGAACTCCCAGGGTAGTTACAGCCTATGTTAAACTTGTACTAGAATCATTTGCATAACTTTTACTCCACATTTTCTATGTCTCATGGCACAGATGAACATCTTTTTATACTTAAATAATTTTCTTTGGTGTTCAGTTATGAGACACCATCTATTGAGTGTTTAGAACTTTCTCTGTCTCGCAGATCTAGAAGCTAAGAAGTCCAGAATCCTAATGCCAATACATGTAGTGTCTCAGAAGGGTTGCTCCTCAGAGAGAGCCCCCCACAGGGGGAAGGGGCTCTAATGCCTTGCTGAAGCTCTGCCCATGGGATATAGCCATCTGTGCAAGCCTCACCTATTCATGCAGCACTTGGGGACGGGGTCTCTAACCCGACACAAGCTTCATCCCTCAGGACTCAAAGCACTGAAGACACAACTGCACTTCTTGCTCGAATTCTTACTCCTGAAGCACAGTGCAGGCCTCTGCTTCCCGAGAGAGATCCCGACGATCTTGATATCCATCAAGACCTGTCTGAGGCCAGTTCCGTTTCCTTACTGTGCACGCATATATTTTGTAGCACACTCAAACATGGAAAGCTTTATTCTCTATGTGCTTAAAGTTCCAACCTAGCACTTTCATTCCCCCATTCATCATGCACACTGCTCAGTCTACTGTGGACTCTGCTAGATGTTAGGACCCAAACCAAATGTTTCTGTAGTATTGAAATATTTTTCCCTTTTTATTTGTATGGGTGTTTTGCCTGCATGTATGTTTGTACCATGTGCGTGCGGTACCTAAGGAGGCCAGAGAGGGTGGTGGATACTCTGGGATTGGAGTTACAGAGTATTGTGAGTTACCCTGGAGGTGTCAGGAATCAAACTCAGATCCTCTGGAGGAGCACGAAGTGCTTTTAACTGCTGGGCCATCTCTCCAGCCCCTGTTTTTAGTATCTTTTGTTTGGGCAATCCTGGGTCAAAACAATAATAACACTTTAATGATTTGTAGTAGATTCCTTGATATGGGCTAAGTTAACCATATCTATATATGAAGGCATTTTCTATATACTTACCCATTCTTGTTCAACATTCATTGAGTCTTTTTGTGTATTAACTGAGCTCCTGTTATGCAGGAGGTATTTCAGCAGGAGCTGGGGGTACAGTGGTAAACACGGCAACACCTCCTGAGACCTCATATCCTGCTGTGTGTGGAGGGGAGACAAACTGAAGGTAAGCTACACAGAATGTCAGAGAGGCCACGCTTGTGAAGAGCAAGCTTGTTTGTAACTGAGGGCCAGAGAGATGCTCAGAGGTTAGGAACCTCGACCGTCCTTGCAGAGGCCCCGAGTTCAGTTCCCAGCACTCATTTCAGATGCCTTACAACTACTTGTAACTCCAGTTCTCGGGATCTGATGCCCTTCCCTGATCTCTATGGGTACCTACTCACACATGGAAGACACGAACACACACATGCTATAAATAAAATTTACTTTAAAAATTCAGCATTAAAAAGTACCTGAAATGAAACACTGCACTTGGTACGTGGAGGCAGGAAAGGACACCAGTAATTGTAATTAACTCCAGTGAGGGAGGAGTCGAAGATGCCGGTCTCATTGGACTTTCCAAGGGTTAAAATGCCAAGAAACCTATTTTTAGACCTGAAGATTTTGTGATTCCCTAGCATCTCTTTTCTTTAATGTATTCACTGATGAGTGAAAAGATATTAAACACAATTGGAGCGACCCCTGCTGGCCACAGGACAAAGCATAAAGCAATATGGGATTAAACAGAAGTTCCTTTCTAGCACATTAGATAGACATGGTGTGGTTCCTGTGCAGTAGCTCAGACATTTGTCATATGGTCACACGAGTGCCCTAAGAAGTGACCGAGTTCACACAGCCATATGTAGGAGATCTGGGCTTAATAGTCACGCTTCATTTCAAGTGGGCACTCTCATGGACAGTATTGCTCCATTAAGACACAGCAACTGTTCCGTACTTAACGAGGTCATCATCCATCTATCATCCATCCATCATCCTTACAACCCACCCACCCACACCTCCATCCATCTACCCACTCACCCACCCATTCATCCACTCATCCACCCACCCATCCACCCAACCATCCACTCATCCGTCATCCATCTATCCATCCATCCATCATCCTTACACCTACCCATCCATTCATCCACTCATCCACCCACACATCCATTCATCCATCTACCCACCCACCCACCCACCCATCNCATCCACCCACCCACCCACCCACCCACCCACCCACCCATCCCCATCCATCCACTTATCCGTCATCCATCCATCCACCGTCTATCATCCTTACACCCAGCCACCCATCCATCTATCCATCACCCATGGTATACTGGGTGCCTACTTTGTACTTGGCTCTGTATTTTCTTGAGGAAACAATGGTGAACAAGACACAACATGTCTGACTTCAGGAAGTTTGCATATTGTTGAGGAGAGTAAGTACATTCATAATTTTGGGTTGCACTGGATGCTATGAAGAGAAACAGATCTGGAGAAAGTGTCATAGACTGGTGCAATAGGCATGGAGGAGGTCCCTATCTTAGATAGGAAGTTTGGGAGCTTTCCTGAAGTCAGCAAAATGCTTCCAATGCAAGCACGGGAAACTGGACCCAGATCCTTCGCTTCCATATAAAAAGCCAGGCACAGTGCATCTGCAGACCCAGTGCCAGAAGGTGGAAGATCCTCTTGGCTTGCTACCTCACCAGCCTAGCCAAATCAGTCGCTCTTGGTTATAAACCACAAGGCAGATGGCACCCAAGGTGGCCTACACACACACACACACACACACACACACACACACACACACACACAATGGCTTTGCATGACTTCAAATGAAGCATCAGCCTATCACCAAATGCAGGGGAAGAAGGCTACAGAGCATAGTACTGGACATTCCCATCAGCTCACTTACAACACTTTAGATATGCAAACCAGCCTAAGACCACATACAGATTACATGCAAAACCCAAATTACTAAGGTAGCCATTAACCTGCATTGTTCTTTCATTTATTTAAGAATTCCTTTCTATTTTAGTTTTCTCCCTGAAAACCTAAGAATTCCCTTAATCGTGGTCACAAAGGATGGTCCTGAGAGCTGCAGCAACAACAGCCGGCACAGAGAAAGTAGGCACAGGAGTCAGAATCTTGGGGATGGAGGCAGCTGCTCATTTGGCAAGCCCTGCAGGAGATTTTAATGTGCTCTGCAATGAGACTTTCCTGTTCCGAAGCCAATGGGGAGTTCAAGGCTCTACACTAGTTATGTTGTTCTCTCAAACCACTACCATTCGGCACAGAAAGTGTTAGGGAGTAACCGTCGAACAATTGCCTGGCCTCACGTTCAACCTAGAAGCTATCCTGCATGACTTTACACATTTAGTGCATATTTAATACTAGGATGTGTGAAACAACCATGAGCGTTGTCGTAATCAAGATGGGGTTCCTTGTGTCAATCCTAACAAAAGGAAATAAAGCTGGGAGATTAGGCAGACACGTTCTTAATATGAATGCCTGATAATGATTACGAAGGACTGCTGGAACCAGAGCTGGCTGAAGCCAGCACACAGAGTACCCCAGGCCACCATTATCCTTACTGTCTGTGTGCAAGGATTACTCCTTTAAGTACCTGCTCTAATAGTCTCAATTTATTCCCCCCACCCCGTGTATGAGACTCTGGCCACGATGCTACAGTACCTCTCTACTTGGCTCCTGGAGAGAAGCGGCGGGTTAGGAGGGAGCAGCTGCTAAGCCAGGATGGGGCATGGGTCAAGTTCCAGTTGGCAGCTGTCTTGACTGTGCCTACCTACAGACAGGCCCATAAAGTGATGCCACGGCCAAGACACCATATGTGAGAGGACAGACCTAACCCCGGCCCTGCTTCTCTGGTACTATAGCAGGTAGGGAAAATCTGGCTTCTTGCTGTCACCTGCTCCCCATCTTCCAGTCAGAGCATGGGAAAGGTAGGTCATATCCACTAGGAAGACAGAACAGATAGCTCTGAGTGTGTGTGTGGTGTTCTGAGCATGCCTGTGTCTCAAAGAGCCCAAGGACACTCAGCCCAGCACCCTGGCTGAAAGAATATCTCATGTACTCCAAACATATAATGCAAGGAAAACCTGGGAGATTGGCCTTCGGGATTTAAAGATCTGCAAAGCAGGGTTCATACACAAAAAAAATCTAGGGGCTGAAGAGAAGGGTCAATTGTAAGATTACTGTTGTTCTTGCAAAGGACCTGAGGTCAGTTCCCAGAATGCACATGGGGGCTCACAACCGCCAGTAACTCTAGTTCCATTTGATCTGACACCCTCTCCTGTCCTCTGCCAGCTTCAGACATGCATGCGGTGTGCTTACATGCATACTGCAAAACACTCACACACATAAACATAACTGGCTGGGTGTGGTGGCACATGCCTTTAATCCCAACACCCCGGAAACACAGGCAGGCGGATGCTGTGGGATGGAGGCTACCCTGACATACATAGCGAGTTTCAAGCCAGCCAGGGTAACACAGATCTTGTCTCAAAAAATGTCTAATTGAAAAAGAGCCCAAGGACTGGAGAGATGGCTCAGAGGTTAGGAGCATTCCCTGCTCTTCCAGAGGACCCGGGTTCAATTCCCTCAATTTTATCTTTTAAAACTTATTCTTGCCTCCTTGAATATTATTCTATTGCAATCCACTTGAATCACAAAGAAGTTACTTTCTGGAGAATACCACTGTTTGTTTGGGGTGACATGTGCTTTATTTCCTCATCCCAATTCAGTGCCACCCGAGAAGTGGTGCTCAGTCATCTGTGTGGGTGCTCAGTGTGGCCCTTGGGAAGCCCGCTCCTCCCCTGTTCTCTGTGCCACCCTGTGATTCACATGACAGACAGCCTTTGCTGTTTTAAAAGCACGATGCCACAGTCACACAGTGCTCACTGAACCAGCATCCACGGACAAACTCGCGGCTCAGCTGCCAGAAGGCATGGCAAACCTGTGAAAAGGTATTTCTGGTAGGCGTGGCTCTGAAACTGACCTGCAACTCCTACTTGGTGTGTAGCGTATCCTGGCAGTCTGCTGGGTCCTTCCCCCAGCCAGAGGGTCAGCGTGGAGGAATCGGACTCTGCGTGGTGGAAGTGAAAGCCCAGGGAAGCCGCAGGGGCGATGAAGTGGCTTTGCAGGATGGGGACGTGCAGCCACGCAGCTACCCTTCCTTCAGAGCGCCACCGTCGGATGGCAGCTAGAAGAGAGGGAGTGAGATAACAATCTAAATCTTCTCTGGGACGTGGGCAGTCAGATCTCTCTGCATTATTACAGCCCAGTTATGCGATTCTTCTTCACCTATCCGTGCTGGTGTTTATAACCACACCTACGGACAGGTCAGCACACAGCAGGTGTTCAGTCAGCACAGAGTGGACTTCAAGTAAATACGGGCTTAATGCTTTCTTAGTTTCTTCTTTCCAGTGTTGGGGACGAAAGCTAGGGTCCTGCATGCGCTACAGGACATACCACCACCGAGCCACATCCCCAGTCCATTCTGTTTCTTTTAATGCCCTTAATTTTATCATTCTTAATGATAATGTTTTTTTTTAACCCTTCCTGTGAGAGTTCTGATGTTAATTTTTGGTTTACAAACTGCAAGGTGGTTAAAAATAGAAGTAAAAAAAAAAGTCAGAATTCTCTATTACTCGCTTGAAGAAATTTTAAGTTCTTTTTCTTGTGATGTTTGATTTTCACATGTCTACAGCTTATATTATACCCTTTATAATATGTTAGATATTAAGCAGTCGATAATAGGAAATATCACTATTCTTACAGTGAAAGTGGATTTCTCAACAGCAGCAGCTTCCCTCATGTATCCTATGCTACCCAGCTAACTTTTACTCTAAACATTTGTTATTTAAAACTCTCTTTATTATAAACACCATTCTGAATATAGATAGGTTTTCTATCTTAGAAATCTTTAATTACTTTATTTTCCTGTGAGATTAAGGCAGGGGTGGTGGCGGGGAGGGGCTCACTTCCTTGAGCCTTAGGTGTCTTAGAAGCTCCTTGTCAGCCAAGAGCTCAGACCTTGAAAGACAGGTGACTTGTGGGTGGGGAAATATGGCGTCACAGCTGAGACCTCAGCAAAGCCTCTCAATCACTGCTCACTCCCCGACCCTTCATCCCACCCTCTCTACCTGGGTTCCCAGGTACGTCATTATCCATTTCCTGGTCACCTGCCTTTCTCTTCTCTTCCTTGGCCTTAGGTAAACTCCTCCCTGCTAAGGATCATGGGCTCACCATCTATGGAGGTCAATTTTCCTAGCATAGTGACAAGTTGTTGGTCCTTAAGAGACTTCTTGATTTGATCCAGCATGAACTATAGCTACAGAATCAGATTCAGATCCTTCCAACTGAATCACTTTTAGCTGAAGTATAATGGCAAAGAGCAAGGTGCACTTGAAGAATTCTGACCTCTGCAGACACCATAGCCAATGCCTCCATTGAGAACACTTCTACCACACATTCGCGTTCCCCCCCCCCCCCCCCCCCCCCCCCCCCCCCCCCCCCCCCCCCCCCCCCCCCCCCCCCCCCGCCCCGTGCTCCTTCAACCAAATGAAAAGGCTGCCTTCTAAAGCTGTGGTGTTTGATTTTCCCTTTAAACTTTACCTTGGACCATCTGTGTTACCACTGCTTCAACTAAAATACGAGGTTGCCCAGTTCTGGCCTCGCTTAAGTCTTAACTTTTCCTCTCCACTTGTTACCTCAAACCATCTCAAAACTGAACCCAGTGCCCACAGAGCTTTGTCCAGAGGCCTGTTCATGTCATTCCTCACAGCAGAATTGGGAATCTCAGCCTGCACTCCATCAAGAATGTTGTCCTTCCTTTCTGTCCCCCTCTAAGAAGCGTGGTCCCTCCCTGCATCTCCACATCGTGTACCTGTCCCTGGCAGCCCAGCTCCTGTATGACCTCTCCAACAAGACTTTCTTAACCACTGTGCAGGTGCTACTATTGTGAGAACTGGAAAACACATGCTGTCTGTGTGACTCCCTAGAATGTATCGCACACCACCTAACCTGCCTGCTGGTTTTCTATTTCTAGTTAAAATGTCATGAACTTGCAATCCTCGAAGTAGAAGCAGGGCTATTTCGCCGCCACTGCAAATCGTATGCGATGCCAGTCACGGTAATTACTTCTGTGATCCTGGTGATCTGGAAGCAGAGGTAGGAGGGTCATGAGTGCACAGGCAGCTTGAGCTACTGATAACATTTGCCTGCCTCAAAACTCCTCTGCCAAGGAATAGTCTACGTAGGGCTATAATATGTAGGGTGATAGCACACTGTATTCCTAAGGCCTGAGCTGTCCGGAACAAAGCAGCAGTGACGGGATAGTGACCTTTACGTGCAAACATGCTTTTGCAGCCATCACTAACACATTACAATGCTTAGTCTCCTCCAAGAGACAGGCATCCTATCAGGCTTTCTTCTCTGATTAGTTCTTTAAAGGCACTGCCGGTTAGCTTTGTATGACTCCATCACAACAAACTACAAGTAACTCATAGAGCAGCGTGGAGAAAACACAGACCCGGAGCCAGGGGAAGGTACACACAGCCTCCGTGCCTTGGTGCCATGTTCAACTGGGATGAGCGTGTACGCTTCAGGGCTTCAGGTTATGAAGATGACATCAACTCCTATTTGTTAGAGTCTTAAAACGATAATTACAGTGAAATGTTTTATTAAAGAAATGCAAAAAAAATGTACTTCATAGCCGAGGGATTTCATTCAGGGTGTCTTTTGCTCATCCGTACCCAGTAACTAGGGCTGGCTAGCGCTATTCACTAAGTCTTTTCAGGGGTCATCTGGTTAGTGCCTGGGAAAGCTCATGGAACAGTCTGGGACTTAAACCCTGGACACGTTTCCAAATCCAGCCCACTTTCTGGAGTGGCGCTTGGATTAGCACTGGTCACCGGCACTACAAATCCACACGTGTAAACATCCCAGCGGATGCGTGGACCCGATTATCCTACTGGGGCTTCTCGGCACCTACTAGCAGGAGAGACGGTGTGAAGCAGACTGGTTTGACGAGGAAGGTGACGCAGCATTAGAGATGCTCACTTGCCATGCTGCTCATAGGGTAAGGTTCATCTGTGGTTGCCTGGTTGTGTGCAAAAAACCTTTCCACAGCCGAACTTCCATACTGTGTTTTCAGTTTGAAAAACAGACTGCTCGAATAAACCACACTTATCTCAAAGTTAGGGCTCCTTCTCTCAAGCTTCCTTTCAGCTACTTGGGCTCATCATATGTTCCTATTGGAAACGGCAAAGCTCTGCGGGTAGAAACAAGCACTGGTTCTTGACCTCTCAGCTCCTACCTGCCCCGACTAGGAGACGGTTTTGCCTAGCAAAGACCGTGACAGAATCTAATGCCAGCAAAACTAAGGCTGGAAGGTAGCAAACAGTGAGCTTATAGCATTTCCTAAGAGTTAAAAATGTGGGTGCTGAGAACCAGCGACAATCACAAGGGTTTAGACCCGGACGTGGCTGAGGGAACTTCCAGGTCACAGCTAGAGGACCGCGGGGTGTCCTTTCAGCTTTCACTTCAGAGCCCGCACGCTCCGGCCTGGTTTCCGGGGCCCGAGACCCGCACTTGCCCTGCAAGAGCCTCCGGAAGGCGGCAGCGTCCAGCCCGTGCAGCGCGCGGTGCCGTGCCAGATGCACCGAGACGCCCCCAAATCTGTCCAGCTCGCCTTGCAGCTCGCCCGCGTCCCGCGGGCTGCCCGAGGCTGCGCGCGCCCCTGCTCGGAGCCAGGCTAAGCCCGCACAGAGGAGCGGCGACCGCCAGCAGCTGACTCCGTGCAGCCACCTCATCGCAGCGCCTAGCCCGTCCGACTCGTGACGTACGACTCCGCCCCGCCCGGCCCGTGTTGCGTAGTCCCGCCCCGCTAGCTAAGCCTCGCAGCGCCCTGCCTACGCCCGCCTCGCCCCGCCCACGCTCGCCACGCCTCGTCCCACCCACGGCCACCACGCATCGTCCCGCCCACGCCCGCGTCTCACCGTCACGCCCACACCCGCCCCGCCCATCTCGCCTCGCCCCGCCCAGTCCCGCCTCGCACCCCTCGCATTGCCCCGCCCACGGCCGCCTCGCATCGTCCCGTCTCGCCCCGCCCATCTCGCATAGCCCCGCCCACGCCTCCTGGCTCTCCCCCCCCCGCCGGGTCTCACCGTCCGCGGCACGCCCCGCCCCTTCTCGCTCCAGCCTCGTCGTCCGTCACAGCCTCGCCTCTCCTTCCGGCGATCGCCCCGCCCCACCTCGCCGCGAACAATCTCGCGGCGTTTTCCGGCGCTCGCCCCGCCCCTCTCGCCGGGAGGAGGGCTGACCGTAAACTCTAGAAAAGTGTCGCCACCCGCTGAGACTGAGCCGGGCTTCCTCTTCGGCGGCAGAGTGCAGCGGATTCGACCGTGGAGTGTCTTCGGTGGCTCCGGACCGGAGAGAGGGGAGAAATTTTAGTTTTTTATTTTTTTTTTTGGCTACTTTTATCGACACTTGCTTCGGGTCTCGGCAAAGCGGCGGAGCACCCGTAGTCCGCTTTTCAGGCGTTCATAGCGTCAGCGAAGGTTCCCGTTCTACGCCCGTCTTCCTTTACGAAAGCGTCACGAGAGCCCTTCGCTCACCGGCTCAGGCTGCGCTCTACGTGGAGCATTACGGACGAGCGCGCCGAGCCGCTGACCTCTGACCCGGAAGTTTTCTCCCCGAGCCGCGCACGTTGGGCCGGCTTTGGCTCGGGTTTGTTGCCGACAGCCTGCGGTCATGTCTTCCAAGAAGAACCGAAAGCGGCAGAAGGAGAGCTCCGAGGGCACCTCGCCTTCGCTGTCTGCTGCTTCGTCTCGCTCGGGGACGCCGGGTCCATTGGCCCGGCCTGATGTGGCGGCGCCGGGGATGCTGGTGGTGACCAACTTCCTCGAGAAAGGTGAGGAAAGCGCGGGCAGCGGCGAGGCTGAGGCGCCCGAGGGCGGTGCGGCGTGTGCAGGTGGGCGTGACCCGGGAGCCCGCGGGCGACGGCGAGCCCGGCCGCTCCGATGCTCCTTGCACAATATTCCGAATTTTCCTCTTACTATTCGTCCTTCCTTTGCTTTCTCGGGCGGCGGCACCGGAGAGCAAGTCCCTGGGCCTTGCCGAGCGAGACTAGCAGCCCCGCTATGGCCGCGCTCGAGATGGCCTCGGCTCCTTGGAGATTTTACTGCCCAGCTAACCCTGCAGAAATGGTTCTTACTCAGCAGGCTGACGCTAAAAAGCCAGATAGCGGTTTTTGGTGGGGAATCCGTGCTGCCTAGCAGACAGTGTCGTGGCTTTAGGAAGGACGGCGTTTTCTTCATTGACCACGCAGGTTCTGATATCTAGTTGTTGCTGTTGGTGCATTGCACACTTGCGGTAATGGTCACATGCACAGCTCATGCAGTTTTCGCAGAAGCGGTGATGGATGAGCACCGAACGAGGGCCATTTTACAGAGTAGAGAAAGCTCACGGGGTTCCATCTGGGTTACACAGCCACCAGGGGCAGGGTCCATGTTTGGGTTCAGATCTCTTTGATTCCAGAGCTGTTGTCTTAGATCAGTTTTGTTGACATGGGTGAATGAACAGACTTAGATCTGAAAAGTCAAGACTAACTAGGGACATGGTTTTTATGTTCGGTAAGACTTTAAAGACAATCTTAGCGTGAGCATAGTGTTTTTATTCTGACATAGAAATTAGAATACAGTTTGCTCTGTAGACTCGACCTCTTTTCAAGTAGACCCTCCCCGCTGTCGTGTACAGACGTTCATGTTTCTTCTAGTTCAGACCTCTGGGGAAGTCCCACAATTTCTCCCTGCCGTCACTTTCTTACTGCCTGCTCATTAAGTGGAGTGTTCCCCGCCTCCTTGTCAGCCCCACTCTCCTGGTCCTTTTTGACTTGCATGCCATCGTCCCCTGGGAGCTGCTCTGTGATGGTCACAGCTCGTCTGTGTTGGCAAGCCGAGTGCACGGTTTTCAGTACTTGCCTTTGGATGCCGGTGGCCTTTGGCATTGTAGGTCTCTTCCTCCTCAAAGCACTTTGCTGCTTACTTTATTTATCGTTAGACTTTCGTAATTTTCTCCATGTGCCTTGGTGATCATTTTCTTTGCAGGTTTAACCTCTTCCATCTGATTCCGAAATATTGAAGTTCCGAAGTTCCTTAATTCTTAAGTCTGATATCCTCCTTTTTCTCTTAATTTATGGCAAGAATATCCAAAGTTAACTTTCTCATATATATCATCTTCAATTTTGATTAATTTTTGTAAAGCATTCTGTTTTTGAGTCTTGATTCAGTGTGTTTTATATCAGAATTTCTCAAGCACTTCCTGTGGCAAAGTTAAAAATGGCAAGTAGGTCACATATTGACAGTTTTGTAAAATAGTGCAATTAGAAAAATAAATTTAAAAACCAAAGTAATGATATTTATTGGGTTCACAGACACAAACTTTTATCTACTTGCAGTAAAAGTTTCTAAGTGATTGAATTTGTACTTAACCTTATTGTTTGTAGATTATATCTTGAATAGTATTGTCCATTACTTCTTCCCTTAGTTTTTCATAGTCCCTGTAGAATCAATTTCCTAAGTCTTCTACTTCCAGTAATACAAACTTTAGTCCTTAAATCTTTCAGAAACTGCTGGTCGCTGGTGGCCACACTTGCCTCTAAAACCAGCGCTCAGGAGGCAGAGGCAGATGGATCTCTTGAGTCAGCCTGGTCTGCAAAGTGAGTTCCAGGACAGCCAGGGTCACACAGAGAAACCCTGTCTCAAAAAAGCAAAAAACAAATGGAAATCTAGGGGTTAGACATAGCACGGCTTTCTCACATCTCTGTCTGCTCCATTACTGAGTTGTGTATAACCCAGATATTTTCTGTATTCCTTCTCACAGCGTTCCTGCTGCTTCTATTTCAAACCCAGACACCATCATCTTTCACCTGAACTGCTACAATGGCCTTCATTTGATTTCTCTCCTTGCAATTTTGTCCTCTTACTCTTTTTTCTACTTTGTAGTCAGAATGATGTTTTAAAATGGAAATCCTGTAGTGACACTACTGTTCTTCCCCATGGTTTTCCATGGTTATTAGGGTTACGGTTGGAATCTTGATGTAGTACACTACCCTGCATGGCTTTTGCCTTCCATAAGCAACTTTCTTTGTCGCTCATCTTTTTTAGTCTCTGAAGAATGGATCATACTCCACAGCATCTGTGCTTGCTTTTCCCTTAAGAAAAATAATCTGTTCTTCATAATTAGTTATTTCTTCCTCCTCCTCCATACCTGAATTTTAACACCACTTTTGTTGATTAGCATTCTCTAATTCTTCCTAATTAGGTCAGATCACACAGAATAGGCTAGGTCTCTCAGTCAATTTGAGGTTGTATGGTCTTAGTTTGTTACAGTTACTCAGAGCTCATTGGATAGCTAGTCCTACTAGATTACAAACTCCATGAGGCAATGGAGCAAGGGTGGATGATTGTTTGAAATTTACTTTATGAGCTGGTGAAATGACGGGGTGAAGATCTTGTGGCACAGACATAAGGACCAGATTTCAGATATCAAGCACCCATGTAAAAAGCTGGATGTGGAGGCGGGGAGAATGATTCAGTGGTAAGAGCACTTGCTTTGCAAGCACAAGGACCTGAGTTTGAATCCTGAGCACCCATTTAAAAAGCCAAATATGGGCCGGGCGATGGTGGTGCGCGCCTTTAATCCCAGCACTTGGCAGGCGGATCTCTGTGAGTTCGAGACCAGCCTGGTCTACAGAGCTAGTTCCAGGACAGGCTCCAAAGCTGCAGAGAAACCCTGTCTCGAAAAAGCAAAAAAAAAACCAACAACAAAAAGCCAAGTATGGTTGGGTGTGTCTTGTATTTGGGAGCTAGAAACAGATATATCTTGAGAGCTTACTGGCCCAGAGTAGCCAAAAACTATCAAGGTTCTTTCTGATTGAGTAAGGCCCATAACACAGAGTTACAATGTAGTGATACGTACCTGTGGTGCGTGTGGAGGCTGTCTTAGTTTCCTTCCCATTGTGATAAGATACCTGGAAAAGCAGATTAAGGGAGAATGGATTTATTATGGCTCACAATTTCAGGTTATAGTTCATCATCACAGGAAGGCACAGTGGCAGGACCTTGGGAGAACTGTCCACGTTACATCCACAGTTAGAACAGAGAACAGTAAGGTCTTGTATGTGTTCATTTCTTCCTTTTGATTGTGAATGTAATCTGATTAGCTGATCCAAGCTGTGAGTGCGAGTTTGATCCTTGGAACCTGCATGGTATAAAGGAAAGAATAGATTCCTTAAAATTATCTTCCACTACCCTGTATATGAATGCACCTACTAAAAAGGACTGGTAGAATTCTGTGGTCAGCTTTAGTAGATTTGGATGTTATAAGCAGAGAAGTGTATAATAGTGGTATATTAAGACACAAGGACTTGGCTGAAAATTTGTACATGAGCTCCATTAGCAGGGAGATGTGGAGGTTTTGGTTTTTTTTTTGTTTTTTTTTTTTTTTTAGGAAGGTTTTGAAATCCTGGATTATGTGGTTCAGAAGGGAAAACAAACCTCTGGAGGCAGATAGATGTTCCGGTTGTAGTCTTTGAAATCTAGCACCTTACTTGGTTCTTTCTGCGCTAAGTGCAGAGACTCTTGGAAGTATAGTTAGTTTTTGTAGTTGGTGCCATTTGTGACAATGCTGAGGACAGAACCTGAGGCCTTGGCCATGCTAAGAGAAGTGCTCTACTCTGAGTTAATATTCCCCAGTCACAATATGTCCTTAATGAACCAAGAGATTTCTTCTCCTTACGTTAAACTTTGTAGGTTATTCTCACAATTTACCAGTAAGCATTCCAAAAAGTTGGGT